CACACACACACACACACACACACACACACACACACACACACAACTGTTCTGGGACCAGGTGTTAAGCTGATAAGCCCTTGTAACTCCCACATTGAACTCCCAGTCTCACACACTGTCTCTATTGACTGGATGCTGCTCTAGCCAAATGAAAGGAGGAAGTCCATGTGTTTGACTGTGAAAAAAGAGGGAGTAAGAGGAGACGGAGAGAGAGCGTGGGTGCTTGGCAGAAAAAAAAGCTTCATGAAAGAGAGCACACAAAAAGCCTGAGAGGAGAGAGTGACAGAGAGAGGTAAACATGTTATTGTATCTCACCAGGTGAGGTCAAAGGTCTGCATCTTTGATGCCGAGCTTGGACTGAGCATCTTAGCACGACGATGAGCACTGGAAACGGTCACCATGACAACGCGGCACAGTACGACTGCGTTGACCTGAAGGCAGAGGYCAACAGCATCAACATGGCCTCCAGCAAACACGAGGCATGTGGCAGCAGAAGCACTTGGCCTCGAGCTCACATGAAGAAGTGTTTCCCTCCTCTGACTGCAGGAAAACAGCTCACAGCAAGTCATGATGGAGAGAAACATCCCTGCAGTCCTCAATGCTTCAAACCTCTGGAAGCTTTAGTGGGTTTATTAGAAGTTTAAGGTATTTTCTAGTCGTTTTGCTATCTTTATAAGAGCTGTGATCCTGTCTATTGTATTTTATAAATGTATGCTTTTATCTTTGCTCATTTTTGTATCCATTTGTCTGCATATTCTAATAAAAATATTGAATTACCTATACAGAGCTATGAGGTGGTGAGAAAGTCCACAGTAATGACATTTCAACAWACAGAGAAAGAACAAGCTTAGTGCATCAACATTCATAAACATATTCTAACACTCATCAACAGCCAGACAACGTGTGCAGGCATGCAGGTGGGACTTAAAGCCCCCCATCCCTAGTGCACAGATCAGGCTGTATCTCAATTCATGGGTTGCAGCCGAAGTCGACCGCATTCATCGGCCACTGACGTCACTACCCTACGCCGTAGGCTGTCCCAATTTGTTGGTGCCTACAAATGCTGCCGACAAATGCAGCTGACGTTTTCGAGTTTTTGTTGGCTGCATCTGAGTAGCCTACGTGGCCGACGGTATCCCAGAATGCATTGTGCCGTGAGAAACATTTCAGCAAATCAAAGATGGCGGACTTCGATAAACCATCAACCGAAGAATTCGTCTTAAATGTAAGGTTTTGTAAACTTGTTAATGCATTAATATGTCAAATAACATACCAAATATAAAACAAATTTAATCATTTTGTATATTTACGTGTTACATTCTTAAAAAAATATTAAAGTTATCCCTCCCTTGAAAAGACATTTTATTCCAACACATTTAACTTGTGTACATTTATATTAGTGATGAAATAATAATAATAATCTCACACATTATATTTATTTTTTAGGGAGAAAGGAGAAAACTCATGAATTCATCTGGCTGAGAGCCTCAAGAGAGGCCTTGTTCACAGGGGCTAAACACTCAGCCACCTCGGCTTGGAAGTAAGCAATATGCCATGATTGGCATTCATGTGTGTTATAAATAAATACAAAAGAAAATAATAATAATTTAGAGATTCAGAATATGGACCCCCACATAGCAAAAACAAGAAGTTTTCACATATTGCTGGCCATGATTTGTTGCATTTCTGATAATAGTTTTTGTTTCAATCCCCTGTTCCAGCCGTCTCAGTCGTTGTGTCCTTGGGCAAGACATTTCACCTGCCTTGCCTGCTGATGGTGGTCAGAGGGTCCGGTGGCACTGGTGCATGGCAGCCTCGCCTCTGTCAGTGTACCCCAGGGCAGCTGTGGCTACAATGTAGCTTACCACCATCATTGTGTCAATGTGTGTGAATGGGTGAATGTCTGTAAGTGTAAGGCACTTTGGGGTCCGGAGGGACTTGATAAAGTGCTCTGTAAGTGCAGTCCATTTACCATTTACCATTTATAAAACAGTACAGTCTGCTGACATTCAAGCTTTTCTTTATTCTACCACTAACATTTATGTTGCCCTTTCTTTTTTGTTATTGGTGCAACTCTGGAGGAAATGGGCATTGAAGGGTAACAGTCTTGCAAGCCAAAAACAAGTGGGACCATTTGAACAAAAAAAATACAAAGTATGTATGATTTCAATAATTTTTGTAACTGGTTCCAAATTGTTCTATTTCAACAACAACAAAATAAATATTGTTTTTGCTGTCATGAATGACTTTCTGTTTTTAGGATTAGGGTCAGGTGAGGGAGCTGGCAGCAAACCCACAGCAGAAACTTGGTCCTGTATTGTCAAGTATTTTCATGAAGTTGAATTAGAGAAAAACAGTGAAGGTCACAGWAATAATACATACCACCAAGACAAATAGAACTGGTCCCACAAAGGCCCAGATCGTGTCAGTCTTCACACTGAGCCAGCAGTGATCTTCGGCCTTGTACTTGTCCGCTGATACAGCCAGTGTTACACCCACTATCAAAACAGGTAGTCCTGAAAAACAGGTCAATTTAATAAATAAAACTGGTGGCGTCACAGCTCCAAACAAGCATGATTAAAGACATATTTCTGTAACAATGACCCCAAGCACTTCTCTATTTTGTCTTTCTTCTGTGCTCCCATTCAGTCTGAAGGGCAACATTTGGAACATCTGCTTTTTGAGATGTTCCGATCTGKACACTGAATGTTTGTGCTACTGATTCACACCGTGTTCTCGGCTCACCGTGCGACATAACACACTAACAGATGGATTTGAGAACAAGAACAGCTGCAGGATGTTTTTCTGTGTAAAACAAAAACTGGTATACGGTTGTGGTGTAGCATAACATAACATCAGAATTATTAGATTAAAATAAATGTAAGGGAGCATTTCAGGTTTGGAGTTATTGTTTAAAAAAAACAAGGCCTCCTCCAGTAAACATGAGCGTGCTCCGTGTTCATACACATAAAAAGAAAATATYAACAGTCTACATTTATTCTGATCTAAAAGTATTTTGTTTTTAGCAGTTTTGTTCCGCACATGAGATTAGGGGTTAAGAAACTCAACACAAAACAAAAGTATGACATCACATGGTTTCTGTGGCAGTGAGCAAAGATCAAGTGTTTCCATTGTGTTGTTCAGCTACATATTATAGCTGAACAATAAAAAAGGCAGGCTTCAGGGGATGTTACCTGCAGCCCAATGCTTTAAAAGAATTAATGTCCACCATTCTATATAGAAATGCATATCCCCCCTTTCATTCCAGGAATTTAGTCTAAGAATTTGTCATGTTAAGAAATGATGGAGCTGAGACTGATTCTGTCACTTCTTGAAATGATGAATGCAGCATCATGATCAGATCAGACTACTGTACTTTTATCACTCAGAATACACTTTGGGGATCACTCTTGGCTTCACATCAAATTGTACACTAATAAAACTGCCATCTCTAGCAAGGCTGCCATACAGAAGCACCAGCAGACCCTCTTACCACCATCAGTAGGCAAGGCAGGTGAAGTCCAAGAACACAACGGCATGTGGGCATGGCGGGGAGTTGAACCTGTGACTTGTGGGTCCCAAAGCTGGCTACTCTACCACTACACCACAGCCGCCCTAATGCACCTGAACTCAGAAGTCTTTATTCCTAATAAACGTCATGTTACTTGGTGCATCCCAAAATTGTAGTGGTTTGGGTGGGGTACTTGCATAGCGGTAACATAATGACCCCCGCACACACAAATGCACCAGAACTCAGAAGTCTTTATTCTTAATAAATGTCATGCTACTTGGTGCATCCCAAGATCGTACTGGTTTGAGTGGGAGTCTTTTTTTTGCATTGGTTGACCTAATGGATAGCCCCTCATCAGAGCTAAACAACAAAAGAAATCTGAAGGTCCTATGTTTAATAGTTTTTGAGCTATAACCTTTTGTATAACCAGGCCCCCCTTTTTTAAATAAATTGGGGGTCCGTGGGGGGGGGGGCACTGATTGGTGGGCCTCATGGATAGAACTTCATCAGAGCTAAACAACAAAAGAAATCTGAAGCTCCTATGTTGAACAGTTTCTGAGTTATAAGCATTTTTGCATGTCCAGACACCCCCTCTTTGAAAGGAGCCCCCTCCTCAAATATGGGGTGTATCGTAAAACTGTTGGCTGATGCAGTGTAGGTCAGACTCAACTACAGCCCTGCTAAATTTCATGTTGATTGGTGCAGCTGTTTTTGTGCTACGGTTGACCAAAAATCTCCGGAGGAAAAAAAAACAGAAAAAAAAAATCAGTAAGAAAACGACGACTCCCGCTTATGCGCCACGTGCGGGGGTCATAATAAAGTTAAAGATTTACCCCAGCCAATGATGTAGTACAGTTTCATCCTGCGGTCCTCACTGATGTTGACAGAAACAACCTTGCTCCAGAGCAGAAGGCCCTCCACCAGCATCCAAGAGAAGGAAGCCATAAAGAACAGGTGAAGCAGAGCAGTTACCAGGTAGCAAGCTGCCTGTAGGTTTAAAGAGGGACAAAACTATCAACTTTATGCACCACCAGTCAGGTGTTCTCTTCTACATGTTGTTTTAGTCTGTATTGAGACAAAATATTACAAAACCATCACCCAAAACAGGTTATTTGATCATGTTATGTTTAGGAGAGGCTGAGGAGGCAGAGCCTCAGCTGCCATTACACACACACACACACACACACACACACACACACACACACACACACACACACACACACACATATATATATATATATATATATATATAATCATAAAAATAAGTAAATGATTGTTATCTTGTGCTTTGTACTGTAAACTAATTTTCCATTAAAATTAAACAATTTTGAATATTCTTTATTAAACATTGCTGCGTTTCCTCTTTTCCTGTTCAAATACCAGGAGGCAGCAGCAAGCTCTGCCTCAACTTGGATTTCACAATCTCTCACAAACTGATGCATGTTATGCAGTGAGAGCAAACTGCTGTGTCTCTGTATGTCACCAGCAAAATGTTAGCCTACAAATACTTTTAACATATGCCTGACTTTCTACAGTTTAGGTGATTTTCATGTATAACATATTCTACAAGCTGATTATGGTGTTATTATATGCCACCAGTGRGCAGTTACACTGAATTGAGAGCAGATATCAATTTGAACAAACAATAATTTGAATTGTGTGCATTCAAATCACACCCACGCTCACACAGCTCCCTCCCTGCTTGTTCAACTCTCTTCCTGCTCGTGCTCAGCTCCCTCCCACATCTAAATTTACACTCTGCTCACTTTCAGCTGTGTTTCTGCGCTCGCAACCCATGTTGCATGTAAATGAACCACATCACCAGCCAATCACAGACAAGATTTTTTCATCCGATCAAAGCATGTCTTGCAAATCTACTAAACCAAGAGGTGGAAATGACAAAATCTTATATTTATTAAATCAGCAAAAGATAATATATTTTTTTAAATTTGTAGTCCAAGAATATTCAGCTAAGCATAAAAATGTGGTCACTGTCATTGTGTATTTTAGAAATATTTCTATTAAGATTCATTACAAATATCAAAACCAACAAGTCCCAGAAGAAGACCCAGGACATGCTGGAGGGACTATGTCTCCCGGCTGGCCTGGGAACACCTTGGGATTCCCCCGTATGAGCTGGCCCAAGTGGCTGGGGAGAGGGATGTRTGGGTCTCTTTGCTCAGGCTGCTGCTGCCCCAACCCGACCCCAGATAAGCAGAAGAAAATGGAGGGACAGACGGAACAAGTAGATATTCAAGTTCACCCTTTTGATACAACAGAATACCAGCAATGAAGAGGAACTAGTAAATTAATTTGAACATCTACAAACAATATCCAAACCAACAGTTCTTTATCTTAATGTAATTAAGAAATATTGCCTATAATTATAATTATAATTTCAAAAGTGAAGTTGAACATTTTTTTTCTAGTTGGATTACTGATATACTAACATTGCCTAAAATACACAATGACAGTAAACATATTTGTGTGGTTAACTAAATATTCTGGGTTACAAAATTTATAAAATATAAATTATTATCTTTTGCTGATTTAATAGGCCACATCTAAGATTTTGTCACTTCTGAGTCTTGATTTAATAGTTTTGCAAGACATGCTTTGATTGGATGAAAAAAAGTGTGTCTGTGATTGGCTGGTGATGTGGTTTATTTACATAGAACTTGGGTTGAATTTGTTCAGTTTCAATGGCATTTCCATAGCAACCTTAGCGGTTTCTTGATAAATTTGTGAGCTTTGCACATGAATGTTTATAACAATTCTTCACTACAAAATGTTCTATTAGCAACTCAAGTGCAGCAGCTATCTATTTTCCCCCCTCCTGCCAAACCTGACATTCAGAATGAAKGATTTTATATCTAAGAAGCACAAACAATTTTCTAAACTTGACTTTCAACAGAAGCAGCAGGTCTAATGTGAAGAAGACCCACGCACTCTTTTTAAATAAAAAAGAGTGGCTGTGTGAATGTCCTGCAAAAACCAAATTTTTCTGCATGTCGTGCCTTTTTTCAATTTGTGAAAATARATTATTTGGACTCAGATGAAATATTGTGACCAGTGGACGGACTTCATTCATATGTAAAGCTAGGATCATAAACTTTCTTTTGTTTGAACTTAGATTTTACATTTTGGCTGTAAGTACTGTAATCCACCATCTGCATGATTCTGTGTGTGGCTCAGTACCAGTATCTGTGAGTTGGATGGCACCATTAACATGTTGAATGAATTAAAAATGAATTAACAATACAAACGGACAAATGGATACAAACAAAAATATGAATACATATAAAGACTCAGATACAAAAATATACAATTTAGATGATATAACTGATTCCAAACACTTTCCTGTAATCACAGACTCTGAATGTTATAATGAAGAGCAATTTAACGATATCAATATAACAAATGAAGGTCTTTCTATTATTCACTTCAATTGTAGAAGTATAAATGCAAATTTATTTAAAATAATGGACGATTTAAAACAGTTAAACAGAATTTTTACTGTAATAGCACTTTCAGAGACATGGCTTAATGATGTACATATAGATACCTAACATTCAAATTGAGGGATATGAATTATTTTACAAGAACAGGAACAATTTAAGGGATGGTGGAGTTGCTCTATTTATTAATAATGAAATAAAATGTAAAATAATTAATAAAATGTCAATAATTGTGGATAACATTATGGAAATAATAACAACTGAAATAATAAATTAAAATTCATAAAACATAATAATAAGCTGTGTCTATCGGTCACCATAATCCAATATAGAACTATTCACCGAACAAATCATGAAGCTCCTTGAAGGGAGTTGTACCAAAACWGTTATTTTTGTGCGGAGATTTTAATATTGACCTGGGAAATAAAACAYATTCAAATAATATTGGTACATTTATAAATCCCATGTATAGTTTAAATCTTTATCCATTGATATTGAAACCTACAAGAATCACAACCCATAGTGCTGCAATAGTTGATAACATATTTACAAATAWAARAAAGGGAGAAGTAAAGGGTGGTATTTTGACATCTGATGAGTGATCTGTGCTTTGAGTGATCACTTACCAYTGTTCACGATTTATAAAAATGATCAACGCAATATAAAAGTAAACCCAATCAAGAAAAAATTAAAAAACACATAAAAAAGCCTTGGATAAATTAAAAGATGATTTGGGGAAACAAAACTGGTTGAACATGGATGACTAAAGGGTTGAGGAATGCTTGTAAAAAAAGAATAAATTGTACTCATGTTTTTTGAAATTAAGAAAAGAATCAGAACAGAATACGAGAAATATATAAAAACAAGTTGGTATGGATTTTAAGAAAGCATAAGAAGGAATATTACAGTGACTTATTAGATAAAAGTAAAAGTGATATAAAGGCAACATAGTGAGTAATGAARTGGGTTTAGAAAAATACAGCAAAATCAAGTATTTCTCAATATTTTTTAAAGGATGACAATGAAATGCATGATCTGAATGAAATTGTAAATGGATTTTAATCATTATATTGTGAATTTTGGTCCAAGTCTTGCAGCTATAATACCATTTGTAGATAAAAATGTGAACCATACAGTGATGGGTTGTAGTAACAYTATTTTTCTTGATGGAACTGACAAAGAAGAAATCATGAATATTGTAAAGAAATCTTGCAGACAAAAGATCAAAAGATTGGGTGGACATGGACATGATGTTTATAAAGGAAATAATGGGTCACGTTATTGAGCCGTTTACTTGTATATGTAATTTATCATTTTCATCTGGTATATTTCAAGACAACATGAAGATAGCCACTCTCTACAAGGGTGGTGAGAAATATATATTTACAAACCACAGACCAATATCCTTTTTGCCACAGTTTTCAAAAAATTTGGAAAAGTTGTTTGTGACCAGATTAAATCAGTTCATTGACAAACAAAACATTTTAAGTAAAAACCAATATGGTTTAAGAGCTAATTATTCAACTTCAATGGCTCTCWTGGATCTAATTGAACAAATAACTGCTGTTGATCAAAAACAATACTGTGTTAGTGTTTACGTTGATCTGAGGAAAGCATTCGACACAAATGATCACAGTATTCTTCTTGAAAAGTTAAATAAATAGGGCATAAGTGGACCAGCATTACAGTGGGTATCTAGTCACCTAAAAAACAGGAAACATTTTGTACAAATAAATGATGTAAGATCTGAATTCTGCAACATTACATGTGGAGTTCCACAGGGTTCTGTACTTGGACCAAAGTTATTTATTTTACATACAGATATATAT